ATATATATCTATATATATATATATATATATATATATATATATATATATATATATTATCATAAATATTAGTATTAATCTATTTCCCTATGTGGCCGTATGTGTATATAATTAGTATAAGTGTAATCGTGTGATCGATGTATATATAATATCATTATCATCATTTATTATCATTATTATCATTTATTATTATTATTATTATTTATTATTATTATTATTTTTATCATCAATATTATTATTACTTTTATATAAATAAAATATATTATTATTTTATTATTATTATTATAAATATTAATATTAATCTATTTGCCTATGTAGGCCGTATGTGTATATAATTAGTATAAGTGTAATGTAGTGTGATCGATGTATATATAATATATTAATATTATTATTATTATTATTATTATTATTATTATCATCATCATTATCATAATTATTATTACTGTCATTTATTGTTATTATTATCATCATTATCATAATTATTATTACTGTCATTTATTATTATTATTATTATTATTATTATTATTATTATTATTATTACTATTATTTATCATCAATATCAGTATTATTATCATTATAAATATTATTGTTAATAATCTATTTGCTATGGCATGTGTATATCACAGGACGCTAATTAACGGTTGTTGACGGTAATTAGTATTACGGTACTGTACACATATCAATACCGTCAACAAGCGTTGTTAACGGTTGTCGACGGTAATTAGTATTAATGTACACGCATACTAATTACCGTCAACAACCGTCAACAACGCTTGTTGACGGTTGATGACGTCTGTTGACGGTAATTAGTATGACCGGAAAATACTAATAAAAAATTGAAAGTAAACACCTTCTACGTACTCTCAATAAAGTGCAGCAAAAAGTACAGCAAAAATACAACCCCTGGTCCTGGCCCATTACTCAAACACCTTTATAAGGTGGTGAGCACTTATGGCAATGAATTATACAATAGCGCAAACATCGATTGTTGGAAGCGTAGTGGTTATAGCCTATTCTTCATACTGAAAACCGCGTATAGTGGGGTGACCCTTACTCAACTAAAATTAATCCGTTAACCGTGTAACCATTAACAAATAAAGCCAAAGATTAGTATTCTTACCACCGTAGCTCGGTTAATTTGACAGCATTCGTTGGACATTACAACTTCACATGATCGGAAAGAAATGCAAGAATAGAAAGGGAAGAAGGAGAGGGAGCAAAAAGAGAGTGTTTATCCAGTCCCAGACGAGTTACATTTTCTCGCAATTCATTGGCGGATCTAGTGGGGGGGGGGGGGTCCTAACCCCCTACCTTAGGGGAAAAAAAAAAAAAAAAATTCTAGACCTACTTTTTCAGGACTTTTTCATCTAGGAATCATAATTTTCTCGGGGGAGGACTCTGACCCCCTTTAATTTTTGGGATTCATCAATTAATGGGAAAAAAATACGTATGGAACGTATGTATACAGGTTCAAACATAATAGGCCTATTTACTGTGATAAGAATGAGAAAATTTTTCTTGACCGTTTTAAGGGGGAAAGCCTTGAATTTTGAAGAATTTAAAAGACACCTAGCTCTAAACCCCTCTTCCTTTTTGAAGTTTTTGGGAAACATGTTTACCCCACCCCCTAAATTTGAACCCAGATCCCCTGATTCATATTCCCATTCATCTTACTAGTGCCCCCACCCCGCCCACTTTAAAAAACGTTCCGCCAGCCCTGCTTCATCATAGACTAAACTGGTTAAAATAATGAGTAGAACTGACATTTTACAGACGAGGCGTTTTTTGTTTTGTTTTTTGTTTTTTTTTTATTTTTTAACCAGGCATATGGACATGACTTTTCCAGACAAACAACAAACCTTGCATTTAAAGATAAATGAATCAATATGCCATTAATAGTTTTCTTCTGATCAAACTTCAATAGATGACTCTCTTTTGAAGAAATGTGGCAATTTAAGTACTCATCATGCTTAGAACCAACCGTCAGGTTGGTTAGAAGATGTTCGTCACCCCACACACAACGTAAGAAGCTTCATAGGCTTAAAATTCGTTAGGGAGTGAAAATTCCTATATAATTTTTACAAAATATGAAACTGAAATCAATTAGGGCCTCCATAAATCCTCCAATAAGCGCCACGGCGTTTATAACAAATTTTCAGAGGCTTCAGTGCAGCGTATTCGAGAGCGGCGCTTATAAAAAAAATATTGGCGTAGGCCTACGTGAAACTTTCCATGTCCGTTGCCATGTTACCATCTTAGGTATCACCCGTAGTTCGGTAGGCCTATCATAGGCCCTACATCATCGTAAAAAGCGTTTATAAGTATGCTTGTGTCTTCATTGTGTTAATTATTCATTTAAACACTGTAGGCCTATACATTGTATTTAAAAGCCTGTTTCTCAAAGTGTTTAATTACACACAGTGTAATGTACAGTATTCTGTATTAACATAGAAAACAGAATAATCTTGCCGCGGCGCTTATTCGAGGATTTACGCCATATACTTTCCCTAAATTTGAAGGGCTGCAAAAAAGATGCCCCCGCCAACCCTTGAACAAAAACTTGGACACATCACCGCTGATTATTTTAAACAAGCAAGAATAGTTTTTGGTTTTTAATGCTAATAAAATTGAACAGTATAAAACAAAAAATAACAAGATGAAGTTAATTTTGATATGTTACGGAATCATGGGCCGTTTGTCACAAATAAGCCTGAGGCTATGAGTTACTTTATTTATACTAATGTAGCCTACAAAAATAGCAAGCTTTGGACTGCACGCGACGACGGTAGGACGAAATGACGTCACATCATAGTCATCTGCGCATGCGAGAACGTTAAGTTTTCGTTTTCGCATGGATGCTAGGACGCAATTTGGCCAAAATCACGTTGTGCGGAGAACGTAGGACGGTCACACATGATTGAATCCGTTCTAGCGTCACGTCGTCACGCAAATCGAAAGCTCTTATAATACGATGAAGGTAGGCATACATACGGTACATACAAATGTGGACATTCAATATTAAGTTTAAGTTATATATTATTGGATTAAATTTAAAAATTGTTGATTTAGAATGATGAAGTAGGTCAGGTGACAGAATTTCTATTAACCACACTGTACCTCTACATAAGTGGCTGTCTGTGTGGTGGTACAGAGCTAATGCTTATAACTGTTTCCAATCATGGAGCTCCATGATACAATGAACCGGCATTACATTAAACCTCCAGTGCTTCTATGCAGGGAGTTGTTTCTATGGAAGATTTATTGGCGACCTGTGCGACCTAAGTTTAAAATGGCAGACTCACATAAGACTACAAATTCCTTCACAGACAGGCAAATTTTCTACAACCTACAAATATTTTTAAGATGAGTTAACCACAGGCAGACAAATGTTTTTTGTATTCAATGGTGGGGTCTAGAGGAATGTTTGGGAGTCGAGGTACGTCACAAGATAGCCGCCAGTACAGCCTTCAACCATTTTAGATGTCTAAATTTAAAGTACATTGTTATTTTTTTTTCCGGAGACTTGGCTATAAAAGTTGCCTCATGCCTATGTTAATAGGAATTCTTTTTCACTCTCTATTGACTATTAAAAAAAACCACAAACACAAAAATAATGATTGCCTTGAGTTTACAGTTGAACACAGTGTTGATTTGGATTAATTGGTGTAGGCCTACTTGTATTAAGGTATACTCATAAGACATTAAAAAGATGTAACACATGCTGTAACAGATTTATTAGGTTTTATAATGTATTCTTATTTCTTAACATTCAGCGGCTTTAATAGTATTATATCCTAACTAAGACCCTAGAACGCATAATTAGAAATGTGAAACGAGGTGGTGTCATCAAAGAACATTATAGGCATATTTAGCATTTTGATTTGTTTCATCACAATTATCGTAACCCAACGTCTATAAAGTAACGACTGATTACATTATTAAAGCATAACTAAAACTTAGACTTAGACAAAAATGCAAAGGAACATACCATATATCTCAATTGCCTCTTGAACGTAGGCCAGGTGCAATGAATGTCTGACCAGCAAGATAAAAAGTTTGAGAAAGTTAAAAAGTTTGCGAATGTCAGTAATCGAAACTCCTGTGTAAATGAAGTACACGTTCCTTCTTTGATCTTGTGTGTACACAGTTGTTGTGTGAAGAATAATAGCGTCACCCTGACAACGAATTCTATTCACACGCGTCACAGAGGCGATACAGCAAGAGGGCGCGCGACCAATCAAACGTTCAGAGCAAACGTTCGAACACATTAATGTGCGCTTTAAGGCCAGGTCACACCTACACCGATAACTATATATTGTTGCCTTTGCGGTCACACCTGACCACAACGAAGAAAAATCGTAACGGCACTGGTTTTGGTCTAAAGGAGTTTGTGCTTCGATCCATTCATAGAAAGTCTTTTGATGTACCTTTTTTGCAAGGTTTGCCTATGTCTAAACTAACTCCGGCTATAATAAAGTTTATTATAAAATTGGAAATGTTATTATTGTTAAAAAAAGTATAATCATCAGGAATGATTACATAATTAATGTCGAAATATTGAATCCCAACACGATGACGTGTATTTCAATACTTGGAGTATGTATTATACTTTCTTATCTGAGATTAATCAGTGGACCTTTCGGTTGTTAATGAATAGATAAGGATTAATACTATGACAATTTTTATTGATCTAATCTACGTAAATTTTCTTTCAGAGGTTATAATTAAAGTTAAAGTTTAGATATTTACTTTAAAAAATATATATGAAATAATGTAATCGTTAATGTTTATAATATTTGGTAATACCGGTATTTAAATAAAGCGAGATTACACCACTGGGCTGAGGTGTGAACATTTTGGGAAATAGTACCTCTAAATTTCCAGAAATAAAACTCTTATATAACCCATAAAACAGCAAACGGCCACATAATGCAAATCTATTTAAAATTAAAACGAAACAGTAGAGAAAATCCGATCAGAATGACAAAACAAACTAAGTATCCACTGGAAGGAATCCCAATATCTGCAGACGGATCCGTTTCGGCCTTCCATGCCTCATCAGTGCAGCTAGGGTATAGACCCAAACGAAACGTTCGGCCAGCTTAGGTAGGGCCCAAACTAGTCAAACGACCACTAATGATTACAGAGCCAAACCAAGGCAATATTATATATACACAGCCCAGGTGTGAATGCAAATAGTGGAATACAAGCTATGTGGCTCGGTTCCTGTAGATACAGAGAATATTTTGTCCTACAAAATTCTTACGAGACAGCACTAGTCCGTGAATTTGTGAACAAGATCGGAGATCTAAAGATTTCTACCGTGCATCAGTGGCGGCCCACTGGATCTCAATAGAGATTCTTTAATAATATATAAATTTTAAAAATGCACGGTAGAGATTAAAACACATTTATTTCAAGTTGCTTTTAATCATTAATTGTTTTTATCATTGTACTTTTATAATGTTTTGTTTTTTTATATTCCATGTTTAGTATGTTTGTGTGCGCCTCGGAATAGGTTTACCTAGATAGATGGCGCATTATAAATGCATTATTATTATTATTATTATTATTATTATTATTATTATTATTATTATTATTATTATTATTATTATTATTATTATTATTATTATTCCTGCAATCCCTAATCTGTCTGTTCTATTTTGGAGTTGTTCTTTAGTGCTGGAGATCAGTGCGATGTCATCAGCTGCATAGTCGAGATCTTCTAGTGTGGTGTGTAGTGTCCATCTTATTCCATTTGTTCTTCTGTATATGCTAGTCTATATATTAATTCTACTAACGCCCCTGTGTAAATTCCCTACCTCCTCTCAGACAGCTGGCAGGAATGGGATCATATCTCATACACTGTGTTTATATAATATTTCGCGACCACATTCCGCTACTTTTCAAGGCTGGATGTTGCTCAACAACGAAAAAACAGCCAAAACTCCACACGAAATTTAGTACACCAGCGTCCATTTTTCGCCAGTCGTTGTTTGTTGTTTACGTCACATAAAAACTACACCATGCCTTCGTTTCTGAACCGTAGGCTTCGCATCAATCAACAAAATATCACGCCAGGCTGCGAAATAAACAGTCTCATCGTCGTCTCCAGTTATGCTTTCAACTTCATTACGTCAAACAGAATCTAAACCATCTCATAATTTTTGTACCTTAGTGCTTCACCTCAACAAAATATCATGGCAGGCCGCTAAATGAACACTCCCATCGCGTCTGTGCTCAATGAGATGACTTGCATATTCCTGTTACCGCTAATTGAATGTCACCAGCACTGCATGCTATAACTAATACATAGTGTTCTATCGCAAAACAGCTTTTCTTTTACAATCGCTCACAAACATCGGTCAGGTAACCGGTATTACATTATATGTGTCAGTGTCACGCTTAGAACTACACCACGTCCATATATAATTAGCTAGCTTGCCCAATAAAACTTGAGTTCGGCCATGTGAAAATAAAGACTTATTGATCGTCCATTTTTAACAACAAAAGTTTGTAGGCCTAGGACGGGATGTTTCTTTCTCAACCAATAAAAGACTAATATACACATAAAAAAACCCTACGCCTTCTATAATAACAAGCGATTCACATCAAAAATACTCATTTTTTAGATTGCACATTCATTCACTCATACATTCATTGCATTTTCCTGCTTCAACAGCATTGGCGCGCTATACCCAAACGTCGAAGAACCATCACAAGGGAAAACACCCCTTCACAATGGAGACGTGACAGGCAAGACACCAGGGGTGGCGCCAGGATTTGCCCGACGGGGGTGGGGGGCGAGGTCCCCGACGGGGGATGCCCCGGGGTAATGCCCCGACGAGGGCTCAGATTTCCCCGACGAAACCAAAGTGGGCTTGGTCAAGCTTCGATTAAAAGGTTACGAAAGTGGTCTAGGGGACGAAGCCCCCGAAAATTTTGACAATTTAGGGGTTTCAAAGGCTTATTTAATTTTTTTTCTCCCCGTTGACTTGTGCTTTTTCTCCCCGACGGCTCTCCCCACCCTTCCCCCCGCTGGCACCACCCCTGCAAGACACAGAAACTGCGCGAGAGTGGAAAAACAGGTTGGCACACAATGCAGCATACAATACCCATTATTGTCAGTTCCGTAATCCTCCTACATCTTTCCCCCATCAACATGTTCAACCATATTCAAGCACAGGACATGCTGCAACACATATGGTCCAGTTCTTTGGCAGGCAGTTCCCGCCGCAGGTTCACTCTTTCTCCATTGGAATGTTGACAACAAAATTTTCATTCTGTAAAGCTTCTGTTTCAAAATGGAAAAACACTATAGTTGCCACAAGGCAAAGGAAAATTGCCAGCAATTGCATCATACCCAGCAAGACTCAAACATCTTTTCACAACAGACACACCACAGGCTCGATATTTTTAGAGCTAACATCCGCAACTATAATATTTCCATGGCATTTGCATCATTTGGAGCAACATTGTCTCCCCACCAGGCCATGGCCCATATGCATTCAGACTTCATGGCCAAGTGTATCACAGGCTGGCTCACTTCACCCTCCTCAAGGCACCACACAATCCTATAGCCAATTGTACATTTTAGAAGCAAGTCAAGCTGTACAGGCCAGGATGCAACAACCTGCCAATAAGGAATGTTTACCAAATATCATGTCACCGCTTCAAAATGTTCTACAACGAACCAAAACGTATGCAGCAGCCTACAAACAAATGCAAGAGGTCAAAGAAGAACAATGCCGCATAGTTCATCAGAATGGAACGCCACCGCCTATTGTAACAATGCACCTCTTGAAAGGGGGTGACCAGCGCCGATACAATGATCCATGGTAAGATGAGATAGCAATTGTATTTTCATCACCAGATGGTGCACCCCCACATAACGGACATTGTTGTACATCCAAAAGACCAACGACCCCAACATATGTTTTACCTTTCATCAAATATTGACCCCCAATGTTTACCCCATCTTCTTTTCGTTTGGAGAAGTAGGTTGGCAACCTAACATGCAACATGATGAAAAGCACAGGTCTAAAAAAAAGGCACAACATTACTTGCCTACAGTATTACGCCTGTCAGTTGGAGAGTCATTCTCCCCAATCTTCTACGGAGGCAAGTTTTTTCCAACAATATTTAGTTGACTAATATATACGTGTAGAGGCCGGCTGATTAGAGTACATACGAACTAAACAGAGTTCTTGTAATCAGAGATTTCAAGGTCCGTGCCATCCATTGTGATTGTTGGGTGACTTTTTTCATGTTTTCGAGTAATGATAAGCTGTTTAGTCTTCTTTGAGTTGAATGCTACAAGATTGTCAGATCCCCCATTAGGTTACAATAGGTTGTGATTGAAAAGTGCAGCATAGTGTTGCCATTTATAGGCTAGAGAGTGATTAGAAGACGAGGAATGCCTAAAACTAACTGATAAGATAGTATCATCTGCGAAAGAAAATATAGGACAGGAAACTGCGTTGTGAAATCTTTCATAAAAACAAGAAGCAAGATCGGGTAAATAACTGAGCCTTAAGGCACAGGAACACCAACTGAGCGGTTGAGTAGAAAGTTAGAAATCCAGTTTATGAGCGTTGGGTGGGGTCCAAACATTGGAAGGTTCGTAATGAGACCACGATGCCAGACACAATCAGATGCTTTGGAAATGTTGATCTGTGATGACGGATTCCATGACCTTGGAGATCTGAGATGACGTTCCGCCAAATGGACGTTTTGCCGACAGCCAATTCGCCGACAACCAATTTTTTTTTTTGTGATGTTGTGATTGATGTTTCGTCAGCAGATGTTTTGTTTTGTGGAGGACCGGTAGTCATCATGGAAAATCGTTATTTATACATACATACATACATACATGCAGACTCACTTTTAATATATAAATCATGCAATATAAGACTCTGCTAAAACATTGAATAATAAACACATGTTTTTGTACTATAGACAATCATAAAAGACTGTAATAATTAACGCAATATAAAAGGGAAATTTTTTAAATTCGTACGAATTGAGATAAAACGAAAGACAAGATACAAGATACAAGGTGACTTATTCAAATTTAAAGAACAATTGAAACGTACAATTATTCTTTAAAGTAATAATATTAAAAATGTTTAAAATACATCAGAGTACGACGTATTACCAATATAAAGTAAAGTTAAAATATGCAAGTAGGAGGACACATTACAATATTAATTAGTCGGTATCTTTTATTCATTCACATATAAAATTCAAAAAGTAGCAGCACAGGCTGAATTACAATTTGAATGAACGATAAAAATTTGGCAAATCAATAAATTAATAAGTATATACAATTCATTAAATGATGAATTAATTAAGTTAGCTATATACAAATTGAATTTAAAAAAAAAGCAAATTGATTCAGTTACTGTTTATATACAGTTGCACATCTAAAAAAAGTCCCTCCTCGATCACATACAAATTCTCCCTTTCACAAACTATCTCATTATTCATAGCTTTCCCCCCATGAACACAACGAACGACTTACCATATTTGCATGTTCAGCACAGCCCTGGATATTCATCGGCCTAGCGTGGCTTACTTCCCAGCTAGCAAATCGACGTTGGCCCAACGTTGGTAAACGTTGGCAAGCTTCGGGGTCGGATATCTGACGTTGGTACGACGTTGGTGTTTGGTTGCAAAATTTGGTCGGAGAGGTAACGTCAAACCAACATTGGAATTTCACGTTGGCCCAACGTATGACTATATTTGTCGATTTTCCGATGTCGTCCCAACGTTGGTAGGCCGTCTTAAATATTCAGTCTGACTACGGACGTTGGTACAACGTCACGATTTGTTACTAGCCCGACGTCGGCAAACTACTAAAAAGATGGTTGGGTACTACCGTTGGCCCAACGTTGGCTAGAGGTTGTAAATATTAGATGTGATTGTAGACGTTGTCTCAACGTCACAGTACGTTGTTGGCCCGACGTCTGTAAACGTTTGAAATGGTGGTTGGTTAAAACCGTTGGCCCGACGTTGGTTAGAGGTTGTAAGTATTTGAATGTGATAACAGACGTTGTCGCAACGTCAGAGTACTTTGTTCGCCCGACGTCGGTAAAGAAAGTGAAGGTTGGTTACAACCGTTGGGCCGACGTTGGTTAGAGGTTGTAAATATTAGATGTAATTAAAGACATTGTCGCAACGTCATAGTACTTTGTTGGCCCGACGTCGGTAAACGTTTGAAATAGACGTTGGTTACCACCGTTGGGCCGACGTTGGCCAGAGGTTGTAAATATTAAATGTGATTACAGACCTTGTCTCAACGTCACAAAACGCTGTTGGCCCGACGTCGGTAAACGTTTGGAATGGAGGTTGGTTACAACCATTTGGCCGACGTTGGTTAGAAGTTGTAAATATTAGATGTAATTATAGACGTGGTCGCAACGTCACAGTACTTTGTTGGCCGGACGTCGGTAAACGTTAGTGGAGGTTGGTGACAACAGTTGGGCCGACGTTGGTTAGAAGTTGTAAATTTCAAACGTTTACCGACGTCGGGCCAAAAAAGAAAAAAAAAATGGTTCGTGCGGGAATCGAACACACAACCACCAGTTTTGCTATTCATTATCCACCATCAACTAAACTGCTTTAAAAAAAATTGTTCGTGTGGGAATCGAACACACAACCACCAGGTTTTGCTATTCATTATCCACCATCAACTAAATTATCTTTTTAAAAAAAATGGTTTGTGTGAGAATCGAACACACAACCTCCAGGTTTGCTATTCATTATCCACCATCAACTAAACTGCCTAAAAAAAAAATTGGTTCGTGTGGGAAATGAACACACAACCACCAAGTTTCCCGTAACATGATTAGTCTATTTTTTTTCTAATTTGCATAATGAATTTTTCAAACATTTTTGCCTATTTAAAAAAAAATGCGTAAGTTATGGAGATGGTAACAATCAAAAATCGATTATAAATTTAATTCTACATTTTTAGACAAAAAACAAACCCTCTTGGCCCACGGCACATTTTTGACACCATGACCATGCGTAATATTAACCTGCAGTTATTATATATACGAAGAATTTTTTTCTAGTAGGATCAGAGTTGACTAACTGTTACTTGGTGTGGTACTAGGTTTATCGCATTTATGGCTTAGGGGCCGTGGTTTACCTCCCTCCGTTTATTCATGCTGGATCAGGGGTACTAAACTCAGGGATCGTGGGTTCGATTCTCACACGGGGCAAGTTTTATTTTTTTAATTTTTTTATTTATTTATTTATTTTTTTTTTGAAGGTCGTGGGTTCGATTCCCACACGAGCCATTTTTATTTATTTTTTAATTTTTTTAAGGCAGTTTAGTTGATGGTGGATAATGAATAGCAAACATGGATGTTGTGTGTTCGATTCGATAATGAATGTATTGTACTCGTTGATGACGTCGCGAAATAACAACAAACAACAACGTGTCATGTCGGAGCCAAGGCCGTCATGGAAGCTCACTGGCTCCTGTGTAATTCATGTTGAGCCAACTGCAGACGAAAAGGTTACAATCTTTTCAGAGATAAGCTGGAAGAAAGTTTTAGACAGTGCCCATCAATGGAAGGATTTTAATACTGAGGAAGTCCTTGGCTTGCTTAACCGTTTTCCTTCGATCGTTGCTTCCAACCGTCTAGGCGCGTCTAGCCTAAAGAGGGTCTACATAGCAGGTCGAGATCCATGAAAAGTCGTATATAAAGATGTGGGTTACCCACATCTTTATATTTGCACAAATAATTAAAATTGTTTATTGAGCAGATTAATCACACTGATAAACGATTGTACTACATTCGGCTGATGCATATAATTTCTGTCATGTGTATACTCAGCACAACCATGGATGTTATTTACCTTAATATGTCACTTGTGACACCTCCGACCATTAAGATTTTCACAAAATGCCGGCGAAACGTCCTATCGGCAAACTGGCATTCGGCGAAATGTGGTGTCGGCAAAATTACGTTTTGGCACATGGTATTTCGGTCAATAGCCACGGTTTTAATCAAACCTTTTGCATCATATTATATGCAATATTTTGGTTGTGTGAAATGAATACAAAAATATTTCTAATATATTTTATATTTTTAATGTATTTTATTGTTACGCAATAAAATTTAGCTATTAGCTGTTGATTGTAAATTATATTAGTTGCTGATTGTAAAATATAATTAAGTGATATATTCAGGAAAGCATTTTTCATTCTGTATTTATTTTACCTTACAAATTCCCATAATTTGCAATGTAATTAATATAATCAATAAAATGAATAAAATCATTACTTACTGTCATCTGCATTATTTTATTAACTATCGCATGGTTTTACAAGATTAGTACAGTAACCTAATTATCATGTTACACATTTACTGAATTATCTTCATTTATTAATTCACAACTAGTTAATCTACTTTATCCTGAAGAAATACCAGCTGAACATCTTTCAGTGGGACTTCATCACCACCACAAGCAACATCAACATCTAAGGATGGCAGTGCATCCTCGATAGGCTGCAAGGTATCAGAGATGGTAAAAATGTCCGCCTTCTGGTTGATCAATGATGTCAGTTTGTCCTCGTGACGCTGTTGGTAACGTTTGTAGGCGGGGATGGCGAGAAAAAGAATTGTTGCAAAGAAGCAGAACAATGCATGGATCCACAGAGCCAAAGTGTATGAACTTGTAACGTCATACGTTTTACCTGAAAAGATTATGAAGGTAATAATGACATAAATAAACTTAAGAAAATATTGAATACACATCATTTACGAAACTACACTTTATCGCTCACTATTCCTTGACAACACGTCACCCCAGTCACTGCATTCCCTGTTGCATTCAGTAAATAATTCGACCATTCACACCCTACTCATGCTTTTTAAGAAGAAAACAATTATTCGTATGAGTGGTGACCAAATGACAAACGTTGGGATCGCATCCACACATTTGGCTTTTTCAGTTTGTGATAACGATGAAGAAATACCACGTACCTCCAGTGAATGGTATAACGATGGTGGAAAGGCCACTTGCCAGCAAAATATGAGCACATGCTTCTGTGCTTTTGTCGGCTCCAAATGTTTCTATTGCAACGGACAACGGCATGGTGTATATTATAGAACGTGCGAAGCCTATACCTGGTTGAAAATCATCTTGTAATTACAATATATAACGTCATCATGTTTAGATGTTCGTACTTAGTTAAATTGATGATGTACTCTAAACACGTTATATTTTTATTGCGAGTTTTTAGGTTCAGTACAGACTCCAAAAGTATGCATTTTCTTTTAGTTTTAAGGCGTATGCAGATTTTATAAGTCCGCAATGACAATATAACGTGTTTCTATACACTAGGTAATTTAACACCCATTGCTGTATGCAAGGGGAATCGGGAAAATTATGATCACGGCCCACCCAGAAAAAAATCCTGGATACACCCCTGGTACCTTCATGTATTCAGTATCACTTTTTTGGTCTTTCTATACATATCACTTTTTCACCCCTCCCCGACGAATTGTTTTTCTCCCTGTGTGGAGTGGGATAGGGGTGTTTGAAGCAGCTCTCACCAACGGCTTTCTGAGAATTATCGTTCGGTTTCGCTTACTGCCATTATGTGTAAAATACTGGAACACTTCCTTCATTCTCAAATTAGTAAACACCTCGAAAAGCATGAAATTCTGACGCCACTTCATCATGGAATCAGCAAGGGATATTCATGTGTTATACAGCTCATTCAAGTTGTTAATGATTGGATGGAAGGAATAAATAACTAACAGCAAATTGATTCTTGAATTTACCACTGCAATTGACTGTAGGTCATTGTTAAGGGATGAGAAACAACATTTTCAACTGGATTAGCATGTTTTTAAGGAACCGTTTTAGTGTGATTATTATACTTGATTTATATAAACGACATCACGGAGGGTTCTACAGTATCTTGTATACCAACGTCATAAAAGACCAGGATTGTGCCAAGCTCCAGAAAAATATGGATCAGGTTTGCCAATGGACTTCCAAATGGCAAATGAATTTAATCCAAAAAAAAAAAAAAAATACTATGTCTGTTGGATTAAAAAGAACCAATATTAGCCATGATTACACCATGCTAGGCGAGAACCTCCATGTTCAAGAACACATACCTTGGAATTACAAGATCCGACAAACTTTCTGGCGCCTCGTCAGCAAAATTCTTGGTCTTCTTCAAAGAAACGTCCACCAATGCTGTAAAAATACTATAGTAAAAGCAAACAAGACACTTGTTCGACCCTACCTCAAATATGCTGCTGCTCCTACTGATCATAGGCAACTCAGTTGCTCGACAGAATCCAAACAAGAGCGGCACGATTTGTGGTCAACTGTTGCCGTAAAAACAGTGCTAATAAGATTATTGAGGAACTGGGATGGGAATTGTAGAAAGACGTCAAGCTGCCAGGCAGTGTCAAATAAACCTTATTCATAAGCAGTGGTGGCGCCAGTGGGGCCAGGGGCCCAGGGGCAGGGGAAAGGGGGAATTCCCCGTCGGACAGGTGCCGGAAGTCGATATTTCACAACAGATGCTTATAATATAATCAATACCAGAACTGACAGATATAAAAACTCCTTCCTGCCAAGAACTGTTTGGGACTGGGAAAACTTTGCCTCTTGAAACCACAAATCAATCGACATTAGAAAGATTGAAAGCTGCTCTAAATTTAATTAAATTTTGCACCATACGGCGTCATGGTACAGTCCTCTTCAGATGCCTTGCAATCATAATGAAATTGAAGAATAAGACAAAATCAACCTTAAGGCTAAAAATCTACAAATCCTTTGGGAAATGCAATAAAAACCAGTAGTTTGACCAGTGGTTCGCAGATTCTTCGGTGTGGATACTAGTAAGTTAAATTAGTACCGGTACGTGTATAACAAGTATTAAGGCTTTCTATATGTCTGTTTGTAAAACAGAACATACAGGTCTTTCCCTCATGGCCATAATGAGTGAAACAAATTGTGACTTGGTGCAAAAACTTAACGATTAACTGCATCAAACCCTTAGACTTTCGTTGCATTTTCAAGAAAGCAATTAAAACAGTTAATCTACTGTTGAACTTGATTGCTCAGCAGTGGTGGAATAGATATAGAAGACCTAGAATCATCACTAAACATGGCGATTTTTGGCAGTCATAGAAATCTAATCATTCACTGTGATGTACTATAAATATAAAACACGCTTTTCTCATTCTTCTCAAATTATAATATTATAGGTAAGTCAGATGTTTGTGGGCAGAGATAACCGTACCTTGCTATAAGGTAAGATGTCTGGCTAGCTGTGCAGTGCTCTTTCGTTAAAACCTGGACCAGTTATGCAGTTCATTTCAACAATTTTCAGGCACCTTCTTGACTTATGAAATTACCCATTGCGGTCGAAGGTAAGGGGTGGGGTGGGGGTGAACTCCCTTTAAAAGTATGTAGGGGACGTGTTCCATCGTCCCTTATGATCTGCCCCCATGCAAACAGACCATGTGTAAAACAGGTTGTTACATCCTACTGATATGTTATCCTGTATAAATATGTTCAATAAATAAACAGAACAGTGGTGTCGCAAGTAGAGTGAGTGGCCAGGTTCTATCGTCAGGAAGACTTGCCTTCCTGTTGGGGAGAAAGCACAATTCGTTGGGGAAAAATTGTATGTAATTTGTACAAGAACGTGTAAATTAATTTTAAAAGCCTTTCAAATCCCTAAATTATCGGAACCCTTTGTTGTGATATCGGACCCTTCCCCCATCCACCCTTGTCGGGTGCCATCGAAACAATTTAACACATAAAAAGATACCGACTCTAAAATAATAAAGGCAGGTATGAGATAATGTGTAACTTTAGTTTCGTAATGACTAAGTACCTGAATAACTGACTTACATATAGCAAATGCCACCATGCCACTATCTGTATCGATCTCAGTTGCGTAAATCATTGAAAAAGTTCCTATTAACGAGCTTACTACCAGCACATAGATTCTTTGAAAGGGAAGATAGTCGCCAAAGGCGGCACATGCTATTCTTCCGCACAGTTCACCGCTACCTAATACGGAAGTCAAGAGTGCAGCCTTTTCTGTTGACAGTCCGACACTCTCTGCAATGCTCACCTAAACATAGTAAATTTTTATCAGAAGACTACGTTACAAAATTACAAAATCAGAACTTCATATTGATAGCGAATTTATGTTCTCATTAAATGGGCCTAGGTTTGTCCACTATCACCACCATTATCATTATTATCATTATCATCATATCATTATCATCATATCATTATCATTATTATTATCTCAGCCAGGAGATATATCTTTCCAGTCGTGTAAGTTTGGGTGTGTGTGTGTGGGTGGGTAGGTATGCAGGGCAAAGCCCACCCCTTCCTCCTTCGTCACTACCACCAATAATGAATATAGTTTAGTTTAAAACCGGGTAGTCAGCAGTCAATAATACAAATAAAAAATTAGTCCGAAATGGGTCCACTCTTGGATTGGGTCCACTCTTAAACTTTTTTAAAATCCTGGCTACGTACGGTATGAAATAAAACAGCTTCAAACATATTATTCCGTTAACACTGAAAATTCGATTCACCATTTATCAGGATCCGTATCAAGCGTTTTAGGTTAGAATTTACAAAAAGACTACCCATATTGCAAGTCACAAACGATAGTACCAGTTGTAGCATCAATTCAGTTTTGTGTTTGCATGTGCTATATTTTTATTAACTTTTATCTTTCGTTATGTTTTAACTGTTTATTCTTACACATCACATTCTCCTAGCATATTACTTAGGTTCCCATGCACAGGGTGACCTAGCACAGCTTATTGCATACGGGATGTTAATTGTAATCATCATTTGTGCCAAGTTAAATTAATTGTATTATTGTGATTTAAGTTATTTAACATAAAACAAAAAAATTGTTTATGTTGAATTCTAGGGAGGTTGTTGACTCCAGATTGTCGAAACCCAGTTTGCCGAATGCCAGATTGCCGAGTCCACTTTGCCGAAACCCAGTTTGTCAAATGCCAGTTTGCCGACTCAAAAACCATGGATCCCGTTTGTCGAAACCCAGGTTGCCGAAAATCAATCAAAAGCAATGAAACATTAACAACAGCATAAAATTCACGATGATAAGCACTCTCTTACCGTCACTGCGTCTGTACGAAGCGGTGGAGGCTGGAGCCAGCGGAAAGTCAGGGCCGCCCAAAATTGCGACATTAGGAATTAGAAGCCATCCAACGCGATGTGATCACTGTGTATTTATATGATAAATAGTGGCTTATTGTATTGTGTTTTAGTGACTCTTCTTATATTCTGCAAATCAAACTTGATTAACAACTTGGCTATCAGCAAAAAAAATTAATTAAATAGGCTTGTCAGATCAAATGCCTTATAATAAGCATATTTATAATAAATATATAAATTCAATTAAGATAATGTAGACCTAAAGAAAATAAATAAATTAATAATAATCTACAATTATACACACGTGCCAGTGGTGGCTCCAGAAGTTTGCCGACAGGGGATCCAACATGATCCGAATCAATAGGCTGACTAGAGCCTCGGTCAGAGCCCGGCAAAAAAACCTGGGTTCGCTTTGAGAGTTGTTATGGATTAGTATGACCTAAACTGTGCTTTTAACCCACAATGTTAGGGATTGGCAATTAAAATAACGTTATTTTGATAGAAAAATTATTATTTTTGGTCCTGCCGTTTATTCGAGGGAGGCGTGTAGGCCTATTATTTTCTTCTTATTTTTTTGGTGAAAAATGAATAGTAGTATAATAATAAATAATAATGTTATATTTATATAGCGCATATTGCACATTGCCCCTATGCGCTTTACAGAGAAATAATATAGGCCAACTGAGAAAAAGCAAATAACAATAAAATAATAACAATAAAATAAAAATAATCATAATAGCAATAACAATGAGACTAAACTACTCCTATTCCTTAAACTAATTAATGGTTGGCCGTTGACTCCGAGGAGCTCATCCGCCCTTTGTTCAGCTATTGTTTTGTCTTGCTGCTGGGTGACCATAAACACCCTCCCCTCAGCAGCCACTAAGACATATTTGAGAGGGTTGTCAGTTTAGTCGCCGACGCTTCGACCGGAAGGAGTTTAATGTCGTACCCAGGACGTCCCTAACTATCTTAAGCTAGGCTTATATACTCGAACAAACGCCCTTTAATATTTCACATAATTTCTTTCAAAATCAAAATGTGTTATTGTGTGATGATCATAAAAAAACTTAATCCCAACCAGGTTAGAAAAAAAATTAATTCTGCTGGATTAGAAAAGAGTATGTGTTGGGAATTATGTTGTTTCTATTAGATTTGTGTACAGTCATTTAAGAGGGCGTTAATTCGAGGAAAAAATAAACGTCTGGGGGTGTTTTAAAAAGAGGCGTTTTTTTTTTTCAAATGAGAAGGGGCTTATTCGAGGAGGCGTTTATTCAAAACAGGGCGAATACTTGGGTACATAAATACGGCTTCTCCCCAATCCACCCATATCATGTTTTCAAAGCACAGTATTCTGTAATTTTGTACGACGGTGAGAGCACATTAGGCCGACCAGCCCTCCATAAACTAACGTTAGAATACCGCACTTTCGGCGGTAAACAACAATTAAAACCTCATAAAAAGGGCAACTAATCCGTTTACCTATAATTGAATCCAAGGACACCAGTGTTAAACACTCAGTACTTATCCTTGATAATGTGTTAATCCAATTAATATAGTGAGATAACCCTAACGTTAGTTTATCGAGTTTGAAACTGGGTTTTGACAAAGTGGTCATTACTTCCGCAAACTGGATTTCGACAAACTGGTTTGATACTGGTTATGTAACTCCTACCATACGACGCGTCGACGTGACTAATGATGATAACTATTTCAAAGATTGAGAAAGTTGTCTTGATAAATACTTTAACGTGTTTTGCAAGTTCGTTTTATTTGTATAAGATTTTAAAGGTAGGATGATTAAATACCGTATATCTTATGATGTTGTAACTGTTAGTTTGCTAACCTGTAAACGATTCAATAAGAATAAATAAGAATATATACTTACAAAATAGACGGATATAAACGCAGCCGCCAAATAAGCAAAGAAAATCGCCGACATAAAGAACCAATAGTTTATGGTTCGCATCATGTACACAATTTTGTGCAAGCTGTTAGTCGGAGACTTGTTCCGTGTCTTGATGGCATCAGCTATAAAATTGTCACTATCATCATCTCCAGATGGAGGGCTGATGACGAGTGGTGCTTCAAAAGACATTGTGCACATGGAACATATTATAAACATCAACGCTGCTTCAATACGTAACGCATTACGCCACCCTACGGATGTCAACAAGCATTGAAACACCGGAGTCATCACCAGCATACCTTTATAGAGAAGTAATGATAAACACGTGTCAGGAAATCTTTTCATTGTTTATAAAACCTAATAAAGTCTCGCACTAGATAATCTTGGTGACCACGTATAATTACCCGTTTGCTATCACAAACTCATATAGACGGGAGCAGGATGGTTTTCCCCTGGACATCCCACTCGGACATTTCCCCGGTGTTTTCCCCTGTAATATTCCCTCCGGACCCCGCACAATTCCCACCCCTGGACTCCCCCAGCCCTTTACATCTTGTCATTGTCATATTTATTTTCACTTATACATTTTAATTTACAATACATTGAAATATTTTATTTAACTTAATTTTAAGCAGTTATATTTTTTTATCCTCCACGCAAAGTGGCTCCTGGTTCAAAGAAAGTTCTACGAATCTCTCGAGAACACATGTCACCATTAGAAGAGCCTCATTTTTAATTTGCTTGGTGGTGGGGGGGGGGTTCTCAAATTTCTGGTTAGTGCACTAGGGACTGTCTTAATACAAGGGTTACTTTTCATAGATGGGGAAAGTCCATTAACGAAAAATGTAGTGCCTGTGTAAATAGGGAAACCCTTAATCACGTATTAAATTATTGTCAACGTTCCCTTGTAAACAGCGGCGCCCCACATTCAGGCACAACAACATCATTGTCAAAACTCCAAAGAAGGTTAGGCCTGCAGAAAACATTTTTGATATTCCTGAAATTTTCTGCGACCTCGTTGCCAGCGCCCCCTACTAGATCCATCAATCCACAATTCCACCTCAATGTATGCCTGCCTACAAATCAAATTCAAGATCTCGGCATATACTGGAAACATCTAATAAGCTCATCGTCTTCGAATTAACAGTCTAATTTGAATTAGGCATTGATTCGGCCCATTCACGCAAAACCAATAAAAATATTCCCCACTTGTCTCAGGTTTTGCGGACGCTAGCTACGAGGTCCAAATTATTTGTTTCGAAGTTGGTTCCAGGGGATATCTCTGGGGACAATATTAAGTGTCTGAAAGAAATCGTAAAATCGTGCAATCTCTGTTCCATTAAAAAATATAAAAGAGACGAAATATCTAAAATTGCAATTATCCCATCATTTTACATAAACCATACCAATGATCAACCTTTCTGGAATGACCCTCCTTTCTTTGAACACAAATATATTTTTTAATTTTAATTCCTGTAAAAAAAATAATAATTGGCCTTTTAATTCTTAATGATCGTAATGTTCTGCCTTAATTTTATTGTGTATTTTTATATTTTTCTTGATTTCTATTTTTATACCGGTACTTGTTGATGGAACTGTTTGCCTCTCTGTTTTGTGTTTGTCATTTGTTTACCTTGCGTGTTCATTCTAAAGCACTTGGAATAAAACGATCTTACATTTACTATATCATTTCTTAATTTCCCTCTAAATAGTGATATTTAAGACCGCTTTTAGTGCCGGTCTTTAATTAGAGGAATTCTAATTAGAGACCAAAGCTGCTAAAGACAACCAAAACCCCAGTCTCAAAAGTGGTATTTAATTGGAGGGAGACCTGTATTTATATAGTTGTATATATTATTTTTATAGTGCTACGCAGCAAACATTATTTAAATACTTAAATTTTCCATTGTGTTAGTGACAATACATTTATTAATGCCTGTTTACAATACAATAACGATAAAAAGCTAATAAGTAATTGTTCATATAGAAAATAAAAAAATAAGCGCTTTTACACTTGGACGATTGAGTAACAATTTATAGGCCTACGATAACAAAATACTTTGACAAATCAATTCAAATGACGTCATAGGCCTGATCATGGAAAACTTTAAACTCGTAGTTTTCTATATGAACAATTGCTTTTCTTTCTATCGTTATCGCTATCGTTGCAATAAACAGGCATTTTAAGGTGCTTGACATTTCTATTAAGTATAGGCCTATACCTAATACTGATTTTTGATGAGCTTTTGTTAACCATACCGACAGTTGCTCCAGCCTGTACTAATGAAGTCGCTCGAGAACAGCAATTCGTGGAAAAGTAACAGGTAACCAACTGTTGAACTGGTGTGTATATAAAATTCACCCCGGTTCCAACAAGGACACTGAAGGAGAAGTACAAAAACCCGATGGAGGGTGCAAACGAAGAAATGAGGATACCAACACTACATATCGCGACTCCTGTGCATATGACACTTCGGTGATTAAATGTTTCGAATAACATGCTTGATATTGGAGACAGGCTGCAGAGGAGACAAAAGGTGAGTGATCCGATCCAACCTAGACAAAAAGAAGTTCATTCATTGTCATTTGCATCACAGAAATTGTTTTGATCTGAGACACTATTCTATAAAAATACATCAATAATAATAATAATAATAATAATAATAATAATAATAATAATAATAATAATAATAATAATAATAATAATAATAATAATAATAATTATGATGATGATGACGACGACGACGATGATGATGATAATAATAAAGTAATAATAATAATAATAATAATAATAATAATAATAATATCTTATATAGCACAAATTTTTATAAAACAAACTGTTTAATGCGCTTTACAAACATTAAAATGGACAAAGCGAATAAAAATACATTAGAATTAATTATACAAAAGCTTAGGCCTACCAATTTTAATATAAAATGCACAAATCTAATATTTTTTTTAACTGGATTTAAAAGAAAGTCAATGAACAAAAAGAGCCAACAATAATCACGCGTTAAAAAAAAAAAAAGAAGCACATTAAGAATGTGAATAATTGTTGATATTCTCTTTAAATTACAAAAAAATCGGATTTGTTTAGAGGCTATTCGGATTTTTTGAGGGGCGTCTTACAAATCACACACCAAACATTTATTTTTTACCTTAAAAGTTTTAAATATAATTGACATAAACAAGCTGCAAATTGCGTCATTTATGTATCGTTTATTTCATAATAGCCTTCCCAGTCATATTACGTCGTTATTTACTAAACCTTCCGATATTCGCTCGTCTAAATTCCATGTTCTATTCTATATCTTGGACCCAAGTTATGGAAAATATATCATTGGACTTGGACAAAAAAAAAAAAAAAAAAAAAAAAAACTCTATTGAAAAAAAAAAAAAAAAAAAAAAAAAAAAAACTCTATTGCTAGTTTCAAAAGCAAATATAAACAATCAGGTATATGGTGCATAAACATTTTCCCTTTTTTTCTGCATGTATAAAAGTAAAATATAACTATATAGAAAGGGAAAAAATGTAAAAAATACGCTTTTTCTTCCTTTACTCCTGTTGATTTTGTTTTCTTTATACTTTTGTGACTGGCGCTGTTGTAGGTGGTCATGCCTTAAAGTTTTCTTAAAACTTATTATGACCACCATTCACACGATAACCTTGTATCATTTAGAATTTTAATTTTATCTAGAATTTTTAATTACTTTTTGTAATTTGTAATTTAATTATGATTGTTTATTTTATGTATATATTTTGTATCGTGTGATAAAATAAATGAATCGAAACAAATAATAATAAGATTAATCAATTTAAAAAACAATCAGAAAATTGTCCAGCACATCGCTGAACATTGCCCAGGGTGGGGTAGTGCACTTTTAACAGTGTTCAGCGAGGTGATTTCGCAACTGAGCAATTCCCAAGCTTGGGTGCAGCATAATAATGTAAAACCTCTGTTCTGTGCTAGACCTTATCTTATCCCAAGCCCCGTCCCAAGCGTATAATACCGTTAACTAACGTTAAGTGTCAAAAATGGCTGCTGGATACAAGCTGTTTTGGTACCTATTTGCTCGAGTAGAGTGAATAGAGTGAAAACGCCTGACGTAACACTTCATTTCTATAATCTTTAGCGGATATTTCTTTGGCCACTGATGTGATAAACTAAATTCTGTTACGAGTACGACGTAGCTGTATACAGTTGTGCAATTAGTACGGCAGCCGGAGGGTTAGACCTATAGATTTTGATTGTCAAATACCATAAGAATAAAAAATAATTTTGCTGGACGTCGGTCAGCATTGAGAAATTTGAGATATTAGCATAAACAAGGCTAAACATAGGTTAAGAAGTTTAGCAAACAAAAGGCTTATTTTTTTAAACTCTAAACACATAACGAGGTAAATAAATTTCAGAAATCACACATTTATTGACACAATGTTCCCGGAACGCCCTCTGGAAACAATAGGGAGATTTCGCAGCCTTACGGAAACAATAACGAATACGCCAATGCGTCATCAAATATCGTCATTTCGTACCTCAAACATTCTTGAATCTCATATATGCTGAGAACCAAAAATAATTAAGACAATGTAAATTTTCAATGAGATGGAAATTATCGGAACCAAAATTCATTAAAAAGGAGGTTAATAATTAATTAAAATCTTATATTTTTGTAAGACAGAAAAAAGATACTGTTGGCTAGTTCTTTATATTAAAAAAAAAACAAAAAAAAAAACTGTATAGTACCGTAAATGAAAACATAGTGCACGGGAAGTGCGCCTACCATCATTTTAAAATGGAAACACATGAGCATGAGTAGAGTATCCAAACGGTAATATGAAGGCCTTGGGCTCAAATCCTGATAGGGACATACTTTTTATCAAATATTTATTATCTTTAAAATTACCACTAGTGGAGGTGTATTTCCATATCAGTTACTTTCATGTGACTTGAAAAAAACGTGTACTAATGGGAAAATCCAAGAATGTATAGGCCTACCACTTTTGGTAGAGTGTCCGAACGGTAGCCTAATCGGAAGGTCCTGGGTCGAATCAAATCCCGATGGAGACATACGTTTTCCTCAGATATTTACCTGTGGCTTCAGCGCTTGAGTTGAACTCTTCCTGGAATGCTGTGTAAAAGACACCAAATGATTGCACGAACCCAAACATCATGAAATACGTGCAGAATCCACCAATAGTGACAGTCCAACCTCGCCTGTGATTGGTCCATTCTTGGAAACTGTAGGACGACTTTGAAGAAAAACGGGATTCTGTATTGGCAGAAGATGTTGATTTTTCTAAGTCGTTTGCCGCGACTGGATCGTCCATTCTTATGTTGTTGCAAAAATAGGTCTCCTGTTGATGGTGGAGGACGCTGAAAATATAACCTAAATTTAGCTAAAAAGCCGAAACAGAATTAAACAAGAAATATTTCCTATAAAAAACTCCGCAAATCCTTAACTTATGACTGGTTTGTATATCCAAACTTAATAAATTAATGTATGTATGCATTACTTTTATATGACACATAAACATAAAAATTAAAAATAAATTAAAGAATGAAACCTAAGAATAAAGCCGGAAAATAAAATCGACCTAGACCACCTAATACCGGTTATAAAGTTTTTGTTTTCCTTATTTGAACATGACTGTGGCCAGTAGACTAGAGCAGAAATTTTTGTCGTCAATAGTCAATTGGCCAGCAAACATAAAACGTTATTATAGGGGCAGGGGTGGCGCCAGTGGGGGCCAAGGGGGGCAGGGTCCCTGTCGGGGAGAAAAAGCACAATTCGTCGGGGAGAAAAAAATTATATATATTTTCTACATATTAGTTGACTCTAAAATCGATTAAATAAGCCTTTGAAACCCCTAAATTGTAAAATTGTTCGGGGGCTTCGTCCCCTGGACTACTTTCGAACCTTTTGCTCGAAGCTCGACCACGCCCACTTTGTTTTCGTCGGGAAAATCTGACCCCTCGTCGAGGGCATCGCCCCCCCCCCCGTCGGGGACCTTGGTCCTCCCTCCTTTGGGCAAATCCTGGTGCCACCCCTTAATAGGGGCCTAGTAAACAAAAAGCATACAATAAAGCAAAAACTTCAAAAACACAGGAAGACTGGGAGATATTCCGAAACATGCAGAAAAAAGTAAATAAAGCAACTAGGAAGGCACTAAATTAAGGATAAATGATTTAACTCCACAAAACAATTCCAGCTTTGTTAAATCACTTAAAAAAAGACTCGTCAGGCCTCCCAGCCCCTAAATTATAGGCTATTGGAAATTAATCACTGAGAGTGTGAAGAAAGCAAATTTATTTAATAGGCCTAATCAATATCTTTCCCAAAAAATGTTGAAGCAATATCAGCTAAAGGGGTCTCTTGGTTTTATAAAGAGGAACCTGCACTCCTGTGCAATCAACATTAAGGACATGGCATACAAAATCTTAGTTAGGTCACTATTAGAATACGGTTCATTGGTATGGGACCACTACACAATAGAGTTGGAAAAAACACTTGAATCTATGCAAAATAGAGCGGCACGTTTTGTTACAAATAAAACAGGTAATCATGAAAAAAAACCATGGGTTATATTATTCATTCAATTTTAAAATACTGGGCTACACCTACCTTCTTTACACTAAGAAGATTCCCACATTGAGTCAACTAAATTCTACAGCTGTTGAAAAACTTTAGGGAGCTCTGACAAGCAGAGTCCCGATGTTTAAGCGGCAGGCACCGCAAGGGGTGCGGGTAGCTGCTAGTGCCGATCGTGTCCAAAATAAACAAAGTTCGCAATATAACAGCGCACGCGCCTCTTCTAGTGCGCGCAAATTCTAAATGCAGTAAGAACAATCGTCTGGTGTTGCTTTCGATTGCATGACGACGGTGGGGTAGGGACCATAGTGATGAGAAGATCACTCGGCAACATTATTCCTTTAACGCGAAATGCATTTTGATCGCGCGCGGGCGTATTATCTTAATAGGGAGTTTTCGCTGCACGACGTTAACTTTAAAGCCCCATTCCCGGCAAAATTTCAATTTTTAAGAAAAATCTAATTTTTGTATAATGTTATAAAGATTTATAAATATAATACGGAATTGCTAGTTTAACTGAATTTAGACATTCCTAAGAATGAGAAAAATGTAAAATAAGACTGAAATTTGATTTTTTGTGTTCCACACAAAAAATAAATGCGGATGAATTTTTCATGTTGATTTTGCGATAGGTCGTGAGAAGAAATATCGTAGGCGCCGAAAACATTAGCCTATCCAACGCTGCTGGCTAGGCCTAGCCTTACCTCGATTTTAGGTTCTGTTATCACACATAAAAACGGCCGACATGATATTTTGACACTTGTGAAATACAATATTTCATAGGAATTATTTCAAATTTGTTAAAAAACTGATTCTGACTGAGATTTTGACACTTAAACAAACATATCTCAGCCTAACCGAACGACCGCATTGTGCGAGATGCGAAGTACAAAAAGTA